GCTTCTTTTTGTGAACTTTATGTGTCTTTGTGGTTTACTTTTTGGGCATGAAAAGCTGGTTCCTCTAAGTTTCTGGTCCTCTCTTTTGATTTTATATTGGGGTGGCCAGATTGCTATAGTCTTCAGGAGTTCCCATAGAGGCCGAAGTCAGATGAGGATCAGATGCTCTCAGTCTTTCTCCTAAGTTCTGGATCTCTCCAGGAACTATTTTGGCCTCAGGAATTTGGCTGTTGGACTGGCCTGGGAGCTGGATTCATGAAAGATGCTGGTCTAGGGCAGCTGTTGGCTGTACCACCCAGAGATGCAAAGGAAGATGGGGGCAGGAATTGACCCCAAGGGCTCCTGGGGACTGCACTGAGGAGCTGCATTGGTCTGGATGAAAAGGATCAAGAAGAGGAAAGGTCAGCCCCGGAGTCCAGGAAAGAGGCTGGTGGGTCCTGCAGGCCCAGGATAGCAGGGGGAGGTGATGGTGGGACCAGGCCCAGAGTGCCCCTGGAGACCCAAGAAGGAACTGAGTTGGTCTGGATGAAAAGGATCAGGAAGCAGTAGTGGTTCCCCAGGTGTCTGGGGCGCCAAGACAGGGAATGGGACAGGACCCAGGCTAGGAGGAGAGAATGGGGGGGAGATGGGGAGGGAGGTGGGGCGGTGGGTGTCAGGGGTCAGGGGTGGTGGTGGTGAATGAGGCTGGCAGAGTCAAGGCACGGGGGCACGATTGGTTTACCCTAATGAGAGGCCTGTGGGTTGGAGAGAGGCCTGTGGTTCATGCCAAGAGGTATAAAATTTTAAAGATTCTAAATTTTACTTCAAAAGTAAAAGTAAGTTAGTATGAAAACACTTCTATGTAACTGTAATGTCCACTATAACAGGATTCTTGGTATGATTTTGGTCCTTCAGGGTACAAATCTTCTAACATTCATAGCTCAAGAAATTGTTTTACAAAGATGATATAATCTACACTAAAATTATTATCACTAATATCCTATTTTTCCAGGCTTATGTACCTTTCTAATTATATTACTATCCTCATTTATGACCACAAATAACTAGATGTACACAAGGACCTCACATTTCAAATAATGCTTCTCTGATATTTAAAAAGATTACACACTGATCACATAGAGTACTCAGAGTTAATGAGGCCATGCAAGAAAATAGCTAGACTTAGCTGTTCATTGCTGTCAGGATCTCCAAATTTACACCTGATAAATGACTGATCTTATTAACAGGAGGTAAAATGAGAAGTGATTTCTGGATCATGATCATTGTATCATATGAAGAAGGTGTTGGAATCAGAGAGGAGGGGATGCTACTACCTTTGATGAAGAATGCCTGGAAGCATTTGGAGGAAGTTTGGGAGGAGTCTGAACTTGACTCTCAGCAAAGTCAATGCTGGTAGCTGAAGTTGTTGCAAATTGGCCCCACTGGAAGAGCATGTTTTCTTTTATGTCACTGAAGTTTTTGATAGAGTTCTCCTGTTTTTGAAAGAAACATAGATTTACCCCTTTTATTGAAATAATGATTTTCAGAATCACACAGAACACAGGACAGAGAAGACCTTTGCCCTTCAATTTTCTCTGAAATATTGGGGGACGTCCCCAGGTATACCTACCAACTTCTCTCCAACTACCCCAATAAGGATTACAGAACTCACTCTGTAAATATTTTAATTGTCTAAAAGACTTATTTTTATTTATCTGTATGTATATATGTCTGTGTGAGGGTATATGCTTGTGTGTGCAGGTGCCCACAGGAGCCAGAAGAGGTCTTTGGAGCCCCTGGAGCTGGAAATACAGAATTACAGGAGGCTGTGAGCCACCTGACATGTGAACCAAACTCTGGTTCTCAGCAAGAGCAGAGAGCACTCTTAAGCACTGAACCATCTCTCCAGACCCTAATTATATTTTTTAGATTATAATAAAGTAATAGACTTCACAGTGGCATTTTTGTTACACTATGTTCTCATCTGTTCTCCATCACCACTGTCCCTGCCTTCTTGCCTCTTCTGGCTGTTTCCCCCCTGCCACACAAAATCACTTACTTGTACTTTCTTAATATACGCATCACAGTACTGCCCTTATTTCTTTCCTAGTACCTTTATTTCCCATGTAAGTAAAGCCCCAGAGGACACTTGACTGTGTGTACCAGAAGATAGGCTTTATTTTTATTACACACTGACTTTAGATAACTTGATTAAGCACAACTTTTAAGTCTTTTATTGTTGTTTTTCACTGTTTTGTAAATTAACCCCCTTAGGCTATAATAGAAGTACATGTCAGAATGAAGCCACCTACAATTGTGAATGTAGTCTATTAAAAATAAGCCTTTTTATCATGAAAATATACAAATTGCTTTCTGATAACTGTTCTCTAGGCTCCTAAAACAACAAAAACACAAACATTTCCTTCAGTTTTGGAGAGATGACTGGATGAAATATAGATTCTTAGAAGTAACCACAATGATAACAACAAGGAAAAAACAGAAGAAAACTTGACAATTCCTTCAAATAGGTCCACTGCCCTCAAGTGGTGCAAGTTCACTGGTGTTAAGGACATAGTAGGTCAAAATGCGGGTTCGGTCTTGAGATAGAAGTTATATTATCAAATAGTGATTTCCTTCTGCCCAGTCCCCCTTTGGCAGATGTGTAAAATTTTTCTTTTGTTGCTTCACCTCAGCTGAGGGCTTCATAGCCCAGGTTAGATGGAACCTCAAGACTCTATGAGGACACAACAAAAGGTGAAAGGAGAGAAATGGGAGATTAAGAGAGGGGTTGATGAAAACATGCATGAAATTGTTCTTCTACCCTCATCTTCTCCCCTAGGACACAAACCTGAGAACAGTTAGGAGAACCTTGTCCTAGGCAGGAAAGCAGGGCTGCTTCTTGCTTCTGGGGTCATTTCCTGCCCTGTACCCCACCTGCCTCCAGGGCTTTTTGCAATTCCTGTAACTACTAACGACCAGCAACCACTATAAAATCCTGAAGAGGGGCTGGACAGGCAGCTCGGCAGTTAAGAGCACGGACTGCTCTTGCAGAGGACCCGGGTTCGATTCCCAGCATCCACATGGCAGCTACGAACAGTCCTTAACTCCAGTTACAGGGGACTCCGAAGCCTTCTGACCTCCGGGGCATTGCACGTCGCGGGTGCACTCACGTACATGCAGGCAATACACTCATACACATAAAATAAAAGAATGGTGGTGTGCGCCTTTATTCCTAGCACTCAGGAGGCAGAGACAGGCAGATCTCTGTGAGTTCCAGGCCAGCCTGGTCTACATAGTGAGTTCCAGGCCAGCCTGGTCAGAGAGGGGGAGGGCCTTGAGATCCGGTAAATGGCCTGAGCCAGAGCCCCTCAGTGCAATTCCTAGCTCTGGGATTCCCTCCCATCCTGATGGGAGTTGTTAGTCTACTTCAGCAAAGCTTTCCTTTTTTGAGTCTTCTCTTTCTCGGAGCTAGCTTCTCCCCTACTTCCCGTGTCTCTCTCCCTCACTCTGGCACAATGAAACATTCCATGCTGCAAGGAAGCTTGTTAAGGTCAAGAATAAACTATTCCATAGCTCAAGGAAGTCCGTGAACTGACCATGCTCTCCAGGTCTCCCCCGAGTATATACAGTTCCTAAAGGATTGCTGATTGACATTCTGAGGACAGCCAGTTGCCTGGAAGAAACTGAGAGCAGCTGAGCTGCCAGGAACAGGCTCAGACAAGCTGAACTGAATGAAAAAGGCACACTGCGACCTGCTGAGCTGCCTGTAGGTTGTACAGTGCACTCCAGATTTCCTGAATTTGTTAGCTGTCGTTCATGTTATGGTGGGCTTTTTGTGACAGCACTGTCTGGGGGTCATTTCTACTCCTGTAAGAATCCATCAACCATATTCCTTTAAATAAATCCAGCAAAACTCATTGGTTCACCCAGTTGGACTTTGCTGGCATCCTGACTTTGTCTGTGACACACCTTAACCTGGGCAAAGAGGAAAGTAGTCTATGGACATCAGAAATGATTTTACTAATGCCTACCGGTCAGATCAAAAGATGACTTACATACTCTTCATGTATGCATTTGATCATTTAATGAGTGATTTAATCCTATGGTACAATGGGGTAGAGTCGCACATCAGTAAGAGGCTTTTTCAAGGTTATGGCTAGCCTGCTGATACGCTATAGGAGGAGGTATATACTGGGAACAGGAAGATGGTACCTTGGTTAAGAAATTGCTGGGTGATATAGGTAAAGGCATATGTAGAGTCTGGTGACTGTCTTCTGTTTTCATGGCATTGGTTACTGAAGGTTCTGGAAGCTGATTCTGCTCCTGTGTAAGCTTCATTTTCTTGAAGTCTTCAGTTGTTATTGTCTCTTTTCTCTTCTTCTGAAAGAACAATATTTGTGTTTTACTCATGACAATGGTTGATTTTCTTTTTTGTTTTGTATACTGAGCCCCCTAGCCTTTGCAGGCAAAGCTGTGTTCTCCTATGGAAGTTTATGTACAACTCAGTAATATTCTTTAACATTAGAAGAAACACAATATTTTTTATTTAAAATGTATGTGTGTTATGCCTACACGTATATAAGTGCACCTTTGTCATGCAGTGCCTTTGCAGAACAAAAGAGGGCAAAGGAACTCCTGGAAGTGAGGCTACCGACTGTTACAGTCACCATATGGGTACTGGGATTTGAACCCTTGTTTTCTACAAGATCAGCCAGGGCCCTTAATCACTGAGCCATCTTCTCAGCCCCAAAGCACAATATGTTTAATATCCAGACAATTCAGTATTAATATTAGATTCTAATTGTATTTATGACATGGGAATACCATCTTCTCAATCAATGTCCAGAGGTGAGCATAGGATTTCCTCATGTAGGAGAGGAGGCATTACATTTATGTCAGTCGCTCCTCCATTCGTTCTGTGTCTATGGGAGTAGGCCATTAATTAAAAAGTATGAGCTTAGATTTAATTTCTTCTAAAGCCATGTTTTTTTTTGTTTTTGTTTTTTTGTTTTTTTGTTTTTTTTTTTTTATCTTTTTGAAGCAGGGTCTCCCTGTAGCCCCAGCTGTCCTGGAATTCACTATGTAGACCAGGCTGGCCTTGAACTCACAGAGATCCGCCTGCCTCTGCCTCCCAAGTGCTGGGACTACAGGCATGTGCCACCACGCCCAGCTCTAAAGCCATGCTTTAAAATTGAATGCAAAATCAATAAATTTGTAGAAAACGAGTGATGATTTTATGTTTCCATCCTTGGGGATTATACTGCAAAAGTTAAACACTAGTTTTGGGCCCTAAATACAAGGTCCAGGCAAGATATGCCCATTCATGTCATAGTGACAAACCTGTTTAGGCGAGCAATGAACTGTTCTCTTGATTACATTTGAATCTTTCTCAGTGGAGGGAATTCTGGCCTGGTACTGTAGACATGGTCAAAATGCTTGGCTAATATTGATGTTGGTTTGCTTAATGGTCATGTTGACAAACTTTCTAAACGCTAATGTTTATAACCATAGTTTTGTGCTGCTCTGAACCCTGGTCAGAGAAGCTTCATTCTGCAGTGAGTATTGGTTAATGCAGAGACTCATAATTGTTTAAACTGCTGAGAATAAGTGACTTGAAATGCCCAGTTGTAGACAGTGCCTCCCCAGCTTGGCTCAGGGAAACTTATGGAAGAAGTGACAGAGAATGTAACAGGTAAAGGATGGGGAGGAATGTGTGAAACACTGTCCTCTGGAAATAACAACTGCTGAACATATGAACTCAGAGCAGCTGTGATTACTCATCAAGACTGGCACATGATCAAGCCAATTTAGAACTCCAGCATGGTGGGGGGAAGGGGCTCCTGCATCCCTAGCTGAGAGATGTTGGCAGTTGACGGCTTCTGGGGGAGGGAGGGTTAGTTTTCTTGGTGAGGTGGCTACTGGTAGATTGTCCATACTCCTGTGGATAACCCATAGCCATTCGTGCATGGGTAGGGTTAATTGGATTCAGTGGGTTATAAAATAAAGGAAATGAAATTGCGAGTGTTAGAACAAGTTACAGGGAGGATATGAGTGTATATGATCAAGATATGTTGTCTACATGCATGACATTTTCAAAGAATTAAAAAATAGTAAAATAATAGAAATAGTCACAGTGTGAAGAAGTAAGATACCTCCTTACATATGAATGATGATTTTTAAAGTCATACAGAACACTAGGTATTTTTCTTATAATTACTTTCATAGAACTTTGAGCTCTAATTTTCTCTAATGGAACATCCTTAGTTATCTTTATTTGCCCTCCAGCTACCTTACTATAACCTTGCCCTGCAAATGTTTTTATTTTAATTTTTACGTCCCACCCTGTACCTCTGGCTCTCTCTAGCTGATTTCCTTTATTCTATAAAACAACTGTCACTTCTTTCTTATCACAGGATTCCACTAAGGTGGGCTCTCTAAGGATAGAAGATGGGTCACACAGCATATGTCAAAACACCTGATGAGAGGGTCACTGAATTGAAAATGGCTCAGAAGCTTGGTTACTAGAAAAGGAAAAACCCCTAAACAAAAACTGGAAAGTAGGGCGTGGAGAGACTTATAACCATCTCTGCTTGTCTGCCCGACACCTTAACCTGGGCAAAAGAGGACAGTGGTCTGTGGACATCAGAAATGCTTTCATTAATGCATATTTGTCAAGACCAAAACACAACTTATAGGTCTTCATATATGTGTTTGATCACTTAATGAGTGACTTCATCATATGATAACAAGGAGTAGAGTAGCACATTAGTAAGAAGCTTTTTCAAAGGTTATGACTAGCCTGGTGACACGCTATGGGAAGAGGTATAAATTGGGAACAGGAAGGTGGTACCTTGATTGCGGAATTGCTGGGTGTTGTTGGTGGAGTCATGGGGGGAATCTGTGCAGCGTCTTCTCTTTTCTGTGTGTTCCTTTCTGCAGGTTTTGAAGGTTGATTCTGCTTCTGGGTAAGCTTCCCTTTCTCTAAGCCTTCAGTTTCCATAGTTTTGTCCTTCTTTTTCTGAAAGAACAATGTTGTTACTTTTGATTTTCTTTTTGATGTGATGGAGACTGAAACTGCAGCTTTGTGTATGATGAGCTGTGATCTTTAATGGAGTTTTATCTCCAGCCCTTAGTAATGTTTTTAAATATCAGATGAAGCACAATATTTTAGTACCACGAGAACCTTCTCCTTATTACTGGGTGTTAGTTATATTTGTGCCCTAGTGAATGCCATTCTCCTACCAGATGGCCAGAGGTAAGCATAGGATCAAATCATAGAGGAGGAAAAACATTTATTTTAGTCCTCTCCTCTCTTCATCACTGTGGTGATAGAATTGTCAAGGCCCTAGAATTATGAAGTCCATATACAGGATCAATCTCTTTTAAGACCATATCTTTAAACTGATTGCTATTCCAGTAAATGTTTTAACAATATACAATGATTTTGAAGCCATCACTGGGAACCATATTGCACAAGTTAAAGTAAATACTATGTCTTTTAAATTTTTTATTTTTAAGTATTCATTTGTATGTGGTAGGTTGTGGGTGGGGAGGTATGTGCACTTGAGTGTAGGTATCCACAGAAGCCAGAGGTGTCAGATTCCTCTGGAGCTGGAGTTAGAGGTAGTTGCCAGCTGCATGCTGTGTATGCTGCAAACTGAACTCAGGTGCTCTGCAAGGACAGCATGTACTCTTAACCACTGAGCCTTCTCTCCACAGCATGCACTCTTAACCACTGAGCCTTCTCTCCAGCTCTAAATACTACTTCTGAATTGAAAGAGTAACCGGCAACTATGAATTTGCTGACGCAGGACCACATTTTCACTAGGTCCTTGAACTAGATGAAGAGCTAAGTGTCCATGAAAAGCTTATACTGGGAAGAACCTTAGCAGAAATCTTTGGTTGTGGTATTAGCCCCCTACCTTTAACGAAGGTGTGTCCTTGCTTGATGCATCTCTGATAGACTCAGGTTGGGAAGTGTTAGGTTCACCTTGCTTTCTTTTTCTCTGTGCGGCATTGCTTTTCCTTTTGTTTTGATTTTGAACTGTTTCAGTAAAGAAAATACAATAAGCCCAAGGCTAGGATGCAGTTCCATTATAGGACAGTTGAAATTTTTTCAGTCTGGCTTCCTCCTCAGCTCTTGCCTGTCTCCCTGTGTTTACCTTCCTGTGTTGCAGAAGACCCACTTGGCCACAAGGCAACCAACAGCACCAAGTCAGCCCCAGGAACTCCTTGCTTTTCCCAGGTACAAAGGTCAGAGCCTTCCCATTCCGGGGATGCCTATGCATATCAGTTAGGCCCTGCCCCAACCCTCTTTTATTATCCAATAGTCTGTTTTAAGAATCTAAAGTTTACATGATAGTAACGACAGGTCATCTTCTATAGGAAACATTTTCAAAATCAGAGAAACAGAGGAAGAAATGAGGACTTGATGTGTTATGTGACAAATTGGAGCTATTAGACTTTGATTCTTCTATTTTTGAGACAGGTTTTGTAGTGAACATCAGGCTGTTCTCAACTAGAGATGTGCCTGATTCTTTGGAATCTGAATGCTGGTGTCTCAGGTGTTTATCACTGTCCCCAGTTTTTCTATAGTTTTTAAATCCAGTAACTTTATGAAAAGAAACTTTTTTACCTCTCTAAGGTGAAGGCTTCTAGTTAGTGTGACATATTTGTTACTATTAGAAATATTAATGATGGTGTAAGGTTTTTAATTGAGCAATAAAAGTAATTGATATGAATGTTTTAAACAAATTTGTTTTCAAATTTTACTTTATTTTTTAATGCTTTTACTTGTTGAAAATGCTATTCTAGCTCAACAAATTTTTTTTTCTATACTTCCACACCTAAAGATGTCCACCCCCAAATACATGTAATTTTTTGTAAGGAAGGAATTATTTGTCAATTTATTAGCGTCTGAAATTCTTCTATTCCTGTAATTTCCAAGTTGTAGTGGTAAAGGAACATATCACCTGTGATCATGGGTGATTGCTAGGCAAGGCTGGCCAGGGGAAGAAAGGGTGGGAGTCGAGGGTGCACCCCATTACCTTTTGTCCTTTCCTCCTTAAATCTGTCAGCCAGGGTTGTAAGGAGTGGCATATTTTTGCACACCTCGATCAGTTTGCTCACTCCAGCATCCTTCGGAAACTTTTCTTCCAACATGTTAGCAATCTTAATTATGTCATAATCTTCTTGCATTTTGTCAGTTAGATGTAGCTCCTTGTTCAGTAAGGACTTAATCATCTTAAATTTAATATCATCAATGCGTGCTAATTGTTCCAGAACTACTTTCTTATGTTCATTCACCATCTCTCAAATTATGGAGGAGCCTACAAGAGAAAAATGGCCCAGAGGATTACCCACATTCATACAGAACTTCAAAACCAGGTGTGCCTAAATACCCATGCTGGTGTCATCCACAGCCGTGTGTGGGAGAGAGACTTAATCACCAGATGCGCCACTGTGAAAATGGGTGTAAATCTGCTCTGTTAATTAATAGGTCTAAAATATTTTTCACTGTGATGATAATTGCATTAGTCAGTTGAAGTCTGTGGTAGAAGAAAGTATGAAAATCATCAAATGGTACAGTGTTTATTGTAAGGACTATGAACGTTCAAATCCTTGGTTCCTCTTCCATTGTTTCTTGGGTCAGGAGCTTGTCCCTAGATGTCTGCTTCTGAGTTCCTGACTCTTCCCCATCTTTGGTCTATACAGACTGTGTATTCTCACCATACTGGAAAAGCTGTCGACTGCAGCACTGCTGGCCTACTCAGGCACAGCTCCTTGTCTACCTGGCGCTTCCCTTACTAGGTCTCACCAGCCCCCTGTCTTCCTGGTGTTGGACTCTGCTATCCTCATCCTCTGTGCTGTTTCTGCCATTTTGCAGAATATTTATGTACTTTCCAGTGTAGGCTCACAGCATCTCCTGGGTAGAATTATATCAATAGTTGCTTGGTTTTGCCCCCTTTAGATTTGATTTCATTAATCAGTATTTTTGTTCAGAGATGCAGTTGTCTATTTACAAGATATGTTTAACTTCTGCTGAAATTATTTAATGGTTTCCTAATTTATTAAAAAAATTCCTTGCTCAGTTGGGCATGGCTGCACACGTTCTTAATCCCGTTACTCAGGAAGCAGAGGCAGGAGGATCTCTGTAAATTCTAGGCTAGCATGGTTTACAGAGTGACACACTGTCAAAAACCCAATTTCATACAAATCTCCCAAATTCCTTGTTCCTTAAAATGTCTTGGAAGGACTTGGATAATTTTCAACTTTAACTTGCATCTTTTTTACATTCTGACACTCACTACATACTGCAGAGTGGACATGTTCTTTACCTTGTGAAGGTCTATGAAACAGATTATTTCTTTGTCATTGCCTAGAAGTCATTCTCACATTGTTTTTCCTCTGTTTCCTGTGAGTATCTCTAAGAATCAAATGAGATGTTCCTTTTGCAAACTTGCAAATTTCCCTACGGGATTGAGTGTGCGTCTCTGGATCTGACTAGCACTTTGTGTCCTTCCTTGATGACTCAGTGTTGGATGGAGTCCAGTGTTCTGCTTCAGTTCACCTGTCCTTTCAGTGGAGGAGTCATGCCCCGTGTGCCTTTGTGTAACTGGAATGTTACATTTTCTGGACATATTAATTGCTTCTCTTTTTGAGAAAAACTGATCATCCTGAGGCTAAATAAACTCATAGGATCAATGGAAAACCCTCACAGATACCCATGACAGTGAAATTGACTATTAGGCCAACATAAAGACTAAATCATCTACAAAAATTAAGATGTAGATTACAACTGATTCTTAGTAGTCAGACTATTTTCAGCAAAACAGATTTATGATTTTTACATAATCATGGTCAAAAATCCCAAAGATAGTTCCAAAGTTTAAAAAGTTTTATTTTTTGCTGTGTCTTGTTAAAGCACAAGCATATTCAAAATACAACAAGATTTTAGTTGACAAGAGAATATGCATAATTTTTATGGATCCCACTTACATGTGAATGTTTATGTTTTGCTGTTGATTTATTGCTGCTTTTCATTTTGGAGAAATCACCCCAAATCTCAATGGAGTTTCCAGTGCTTAGAATACATGTATTTTTATTTCAGCTTTTAAAATAATGTATGTATTAATACCAATTTACAACTACCAGATTCCGGGTGCCTAAAAATGTTCAGCATCACTGGTACAAAGAAGAAATCCGAAGTTGTCTTTAGTAAATAATTAATTTTGGAATTAGCATTTTAACTTAAAAAAAATCATTTAAATATGAAAACCTCAAAAATATTCTCTGATATTCAGAGCCTCCGTATTTCAAAATGCAAACTCACATAGAAATAGTTACTGGAGGTATTAGTAAAAATAACAAAGACTAAAGCTGAGAATACTGCCGACCAAAGCTAAATGGAGTGCAAGACAAACTTGATTAGATGTGCTACGTTTAAAAGTAAAACCTTGTTCACAGAGAGGAAAACAGAAAGATATCAGCATGGGTGATAAGGAGGGAGGAAAAAGAACTTAGAGTTCACTGGTGTATTTCCGTTAAAACATAAGTGCAAATATCGTAAAGTAAAAAGAGCACAGTGGAAGCAAGACTGTTAATTATCAGTCTGTTCATGAAGGTGGTCAAGTTACAGCTCCTGTGACATTTTAAGACATGTACCTAAATGTCAGTAACAAAGCAATTGTTAACAGTAAAAAAAAATTAAAATTAAATTTCTTTACTCAATAACTAAAGAAAACCTGGTTTACCTATATCAGTGTAGCTTTAAGTAGAACTTAAACTAAAACTCTTATTAAATGTGATAAAAATTTCCTTTCTAGAAGAAACTAATAGTTTTATTTATGGACTTGTCTAATTAAAACAGTGCATGGTACTTCTGTTATTTTATGTTCCTTCACAGCATCGTTAAATAGCTTCGTGGACTACATTTTGCTCCCCCTTTTCAACATGTGCACGCATCTGCTCATGTGCATATATAGCTTGCGTGCCCTGTGTGTGAGAGCACATACTTCTATGAGTCTGAAAGAGGCACAAAGAAAACCCACAATTTTATGAAGATATAATGGTGTGATCCCTCAATTACTGAATGAACAATGTGAAACATATGTGAAGATTTAGAAAGTTTTAGCAACATATCTGTGAAACACTGCAAAATTGATCTAATACAATTTTCAAATCAGTATTTAAAATATTCTATTCAAGTACACAAGAACTATACCAGCAAATACAGAGAATCTTTAAAATAGCCTAAAATTGGCTCTAATTCTAAAATTAGAAATGGATTTCTAATTAAACCTCCTTTCTCATCTATATATCTTACCGTCAGAAAAGAAAAAAAAAAAAAAGAAAAACCAACTGAAACAATTAACTTTCAAGATGACAGAACATCTCACAGTGACTAATACATTTCTTTTACAACCTGATGTAAAGGGGAGTAAAATAAAATGTTAAATGTGCTTATGAAATTATTAAAACACCATGGATTTGGTGAACTGTATTTATGAATCTCAGAAATTTTCTTCTACAGGTGCCCATTCGTGTTACAAAACTGAACTAATACAATATATGGCAGCTCAAGATCCAGATGAATTTATCACTTTGTACTATTTCAAGGTAAGATTTCATGTCATTATGTTGTCTTTCACCCAGTCACTAACCACAGCCATCAGGTTCCTGTGTACTTTCCAGCCAAGATAGCCAGAGTCTTCTGATATCTCATTCACATTACACTTAGAAAGTTTATTCTACAGTCCGGAATTTTCAAAATACATTTGTCCTGACTCAGGCCTCAGTGACAGAGGAACAAAGATGTCGGTTCATCTTCCTGAGTGAAGCCTCAGAATCCAGCTGCTGTGAGTGCAGCTGGTTACCAGCCCTGCTCCCCTCTCCCCTGCCAGAACCAGTGCTGATCTTCTCTGCATTCTTGTGGGTGTTACTGAGCTTTCTAATCTTGATAGAAATAAGCGGGCCTCACCTTACGGAATTTGTTCAGCACTGTCCAAATCTTAGATCTTCAGCAAGGCGGGAAACAAGGCTTATCTGTTTTCAATAGGAAGATACCTTAGTAAATCTCTCAGAAACTGGACAGGAGTTTGTAATCTCCCAATGCACTAAGGAAAGGAAGTATTTACAAATATAATAAGAAAAATATCCAAGGATCAAGTCACTTCAGGACTCAAGCAGTTCTGGGTGTCTTTCTCTGTGGTCTCCCTGAGGGGTGAGGTGCTGAAACTCAGAGGACTCCGCCCCATACTTTTCTTAGCTTTCGATTTCCTCTGTTAGTGAAACTGGACAGTGTGTTTCAGTAAATACTGTGGTTTCCTGAAATTCTCAGCTCAGCTCTACTCAGTTATTTTTCTTACAAGTTGTCGGGAGCCGTAGGCCCCTACCCCAGGAAATAGCAAGACCTGATTCCTGGCAAAGCTGTTTTTCAGACATCAAGGCTGGCCTGGTTTGAGATTAACCAGATGACTATACTTGAAAGCCTCTCACAAACATGTTGTTCTAACCTGGGCACTTAACGCTTGAGAGACTCCCTTATTTCTCATGTAATTGCTAAGAAACTTTGGTATTATTCTGTAATCATACAAGTGTAACCTCTTAATTGATTTATAACTTGCTATATAGAATTGTGGTGTTACTATGGAATTTACTCTGTGATCAATTGGTGTGGTGTTATTGTGATATTCGTTCTGTTAATTGAATTGCTCTACTTCAATGGAATTCTCCCTGCCAACTTCCCCCTCTCCTCCCTATAAAAACTTTGTGTGAATGTTCATTAAATGAGACTTGATCAGAAAGCCTGTCTTGTCTCCATTCTTCGCATCTCTTGTCCCTTTCCGTCCCCTCTCCTCCCTCCAGAAACCCACGTTGACTGTCTCACGGGTCGGGACAACAAGTCTAGGTAGAAATTCCAATAATGAAATATTTCGACCCAACAGACTTACATGTGGGTCGTGAGGAGTTTAAATTCTTTTAGATAAAATCCCAGAGGGAATTAGGTCAGGCAGCCTCATGTCCCTTCTTTTCCAGTTAGTGCAGATGGCAGAGATTTTGGCAGATGTGTTTTGCCATTGGTTCTTGAATGCATTTCCTGGGGCTGGGAAGAAACAGTGGCTTTCTAGGAGCATCATGTCATTAGAATACTTGATGTCAAACTCAAGTAAATAGCAATTGATCTTTGGCTCTTCTCTGGCCTGTAACTAAGCTGTTCTCCTTCAGTGATAATGATAACGATACCTTAGGCTTTCTGGATTATTTGTGGATAAACAGGAGATGGGAGGTGTTATGTAATGAGCACACTGAAACCTGGACGTGAGAAAACTCTGAACTTCTGGTAGCCTCAGAACCTGGAATAACATTTGTAGTTTTTGTGAAGAAGAGTAGATGGATTCTGGACTACTATAATCCTGAGACATGGTACAAAGGGCACCAGGCATTGGGAGGTGTGGCTGCCTCCCAGCTGATATGTAAGCAAGATGATGCCCTTGCTGAGTTCTCATTCAGCTGGCTGGGGTTCCTTGATTCACCTGAATTAAAACCAGGATTATACTAGATGCTTTGCAAAATCTGATCTCTAGCAGCTTTTGCATTATTTTTTAAATTTATTATTTTTCATTTTATGTGTATGAGTGCATTGCCTGCATGTAAGTGCATCCGTGTTGTGCAATGCCCCCAGACTCAGAAGATAGCACCAGATCCCCTGGAACTGGAGTTTCAGGTGGTTGTTAGCTATCACATGGAATATGGGAATGGAATCCAGGTCCCCTGCAAGGGCATTCGGTGCTCTTAACCACTGAGCCATCTCTCCAGTACCTCCGGCAGCTTTTGCATCTCCCTGTATTTGACAGTAGTGAGTGGCAGCCAGGCAAGAAGGAGCAGCATCAAGTGGTGTCTTGTGGTGATGTAGCTTTCCAGCAGGTCTTGGATATCTAGAGCCTTCTACAAGTTTCAGCTCTTGTGTAAAGCTAGAGGACTAAGATCCTTAGGTCTTTAACAGTTGTGACTCTTAAAAGCTTATGAAGTCATCTTTCCTTAGCCTGGTACTGTGTCGGTGCTAGGATTACACAGACCTTGATAGTTTCCTTGCCTTGATAGTGTTAAAGTTTGTAGGCTGAAGTGGCAAAGTCTCATGGATCTAAAGACTGGGCAGCTCTTTGGAATACTTCCAATGACCAGGGTGGGCAATTTTTCTTATCTGGCTCTTTACAGATTTCTGTCCTTTATCCTCAGCTTACAGTACTTAAAAATACCAGATTGGTGTAAATAGCCTTCCTGGATGTTTAATAACTATACTTAAAGGCTTATACTAATCTGATTAGAGGGACTTATGGGACAATTTTTTTGTTCCTTGCCCAGGGATATGGAACATCTCAAAATGTCCTGTAGCTGTGATGAATCACCTGTCCTCTCGTTCAGAGAAATCATAGAGATCCCACTAGAGGGACTCAAACAAGTGTCCCGTCTACAAAGAAGAAGGTCAACCCAAAGGATAGTTTCCTCCATGCTTCCAAATGAAATCATAGTCAAGCAGGGTCTTCTGACTTATCCTCACAGAGATGGAACTGTTAGAAAAGAAAACCAAAGAAGCCAAGTATTCCTCTAAAAATCCAAGCTACTCCTGAGGATCAGATCCTTAAGTGACCCTGAAAAAAACAAAAAGCTTTGCTAATTTGGGCCAACTCTATGGTCTTAACCACCCAAAAGGAAAGTATAATGAATGATCAAAGTGATTGCTGTGTTTCTGAGTTCAAGAAATTATACTTCTCGGGCATTAGGCTTAGATGCTATTTAAACAATTATTTCTCACTGATGATCTTGTTCTTAATAAGAAAGTGCTGTACAAGTGTAAGTATTCAAATCTTGGACTAATTCAACACTACAGTGCCTACCTACAGCCAAGAAAGATCATCCCACTACTATTCTCATTTAAAGATTAAATGACAGCTAAACAGAAGCCATTTGGGAGGGAACTCATACTGTGATTCCCGCCACTCCAGCAGCTATCAAAGTCCCTGAAAAGCAGATCTTGAGCCCAGCCATGGTGACAAAAAGAAAAAAACAAGGAGGAATCCAATAGATGAATGCTTTTAGAAGCCCTTATCAAGAAATACTAATGGACTTTGATCTGGATATGCCACATTCTCGTAACCCTGTTCTGACTTTTCCTGGTTCCCTGCCTAGAACTTGTGCCTAACTACTCTTGCCTTTACTTCTTCATATCTCCTTCTAGGCATCAAACAAGGACTTTTTTTTTTTTTTACTTTTGCATTCTCTGTAGCTAACAGTGACACACTTTTGGGGTCTTTTAGATAGACCCAATGAAGGAGTCCTCCCTGTGCCACACTTTGCACAGCCATTCAGCACGGTAGAAACCAGTGATCAGTGCCCTAATTCCCTATTGGTAATTAGGATTACCTCTTCAAAGGGTGGAGTAATGAGTATAGGATGTAGAAATTGACTAGGCAGTTTTAGGGTGAAGGCGCCAAAAGAAAATGGCTAGTTTCTTTCCAACTGAAAGCCAGAAATTACCTTGGATCTGGGAATAACTTGTCTCTACCTGAGACTAGGGATTTCAGAACTATCTAGTCCAAGGATGTCTAGCTCCACCATAGCTAGAGGTTGGGGATGTCAATATGGGGTTCTGCTTTTTTCATACCACTCTCTGGAATAATATCCTGTCCCTGGAAGACATGCTGAGGACATGACCAGAACCGTGATAGACCCGGACACCTGGAATGAGGACTAGACAGACTAGCTCATCTCCCCTTCCTCTCCTCCCTTCACTAAACCCTTATTGACTCTGGAATAATGAAACCATTGTACTATGCTTAATCAACTGTTGTCTCTGAAGATTCTTACAGAATCTCCTGACTGACCATATGACTGCCCAAGTTGCTACCTGAGACCAGATTAAGGGTATGTTCCCACTCTATGACAGAGGAGGACTCCTCAGTTAAAAGAAAAGGATATTCCCCCACTCCTTTCTTTTGGTTTTCAGGGTCTGCAATAATAGAATGCCCCAGCTGCAGAAAATAGAAGTCCTCTGAGATTGCTGCTGGCCTTATTGATCAACCATACCTCCAACTTAGGGAGGACTATTTGTTGAGACAGCCTGTTTCCCATGATACCCTGTCTTGCTTACAGATCTCAGAAATAGGGGGCCATAAATTCTCAAGAATAACCTGATCCTCACATAGCTCCCTATGGCTGCAGCAATTACCTGATTCAAGCTCTCTGTATACTCTTTGATCATGCCCCCCCCCTCCTTGCTTGACTTCCATCCTGCAGGAAGGTTGTTGCCCCTTGCTGTGCAGAATAAACATAGTTTCATCTGTTGAAGGTCTGCCTCTGGTCTTTCTTTCAACTCAGCCCACGATCCTTTTTGTAGTGACATCAGTTCACATATGAGGAAGGAGCCCTCAGTGGCCTAAACAAGTCTTATTAGGCCCACTTCCCCATGTCATTGTTTGGGGATTAAGATCTAACATGAATTTTCTAAGGGACAGACAGATTCATCCATAGCTCTTACTTTCTTCTGCCCTTATTTATGCTATACTTACACTTTATTTACTCATTTAATCTAAGATAGGTCACTCCAGGAATCCTTCACTGGGTAGCCTGTAGGAGAGGAAGTGCCACACCTAAGCATAGGCTGCACTAGAGAACACAGCTTCTGCTTTGAGAGCACAGCCTGCGCTTCCGCAAAATAGCCAACCTACAATCTGCCTGCATGAGGGGATCTATCAGGAAGCGACACACCAATTTATAGGACACTGGGGGCAGGGGGAGAGATATATAAGGCTTGCACTTCCCAGCAATAAACGAGTCTGCAGCACCTCGCCTAGTACCTGCTCTCACCTGACTCCCGGAGTCTGTGTGTTGATTCCATGCCACTCACCCCCACCTTGGCCAGAACCCTCATTCCCCGCAAGGAAACCTGCAACAGCAGCCCACTAGATTTGTAGTTACTTTCCTTTGCTTTATTCTAGGACATATAGGATGGTAGAAAGTTAGTGAACTATATGTCTACAACCTTGGTCTCCTTTTTTGCCTAGCCAGTGACAGATGGCTAACTGATTTAGGCTAATAAAGTCAAAGTCAGATTTAGTCATTTTCTTCTGAGATTATAATTTTAGGATCACCACTTAGCAAAGCACAGGAAGGACTTTTTGGAGAAGATAGAGCTAGCTGTATTGGGGCTTTGGGATATGAAATGGTAGCCTCTTAGTGTTAGAACA